GTTGAAGATTCAAGACGTTGTATAATTAAGGAAGTGGAAGAAAAATGGCCGTCGATTCCCTGAAGATCGTCCTGCTCAAGTAGAGACTGTCTTGTTTCATTCTATTAGAAGTAATCGATCTCCTCTTGACAGGAAACCACTCAAAATAACCCCAAGAAAAATATCAACTGTCCTCAACCATTTTGATATCACTTATAGACTTCACATTTTGTTATTCCGTAAAATTAAAGATGGTCGCAAGATTGTACAGGTTGACCTTTCAACATAAAGTGCTTTCATCAAGAAATTAAATATCTCAGATCGAAGATTATAATAATGTTCAATATAACCTTTTTTTTTTAAACTCCGACCCGTTTAAAGTTGCACACACGAGCGATGAGTTTGTTAGTCAATTTGTACGCGTTTTCTAATTGCTCATTAATTGCAAAGAAGCCATTGTCCGTGTGTACGTCACGGATGTCGATTTTTGCCGCCGGCGACGACTTGTTCAGAAATCGAACATCAATCGTTGGGTATTAGTAATAGTTAGTATTAGCAGGAAAGGACTAACATCCGTTTCCAACAATAAACCCCAATAACAATCTATCTATATATACTAATTTTTGTGACTGTCGTTTGTCTGTCTGTTTGTCTGTCTGTCTGTTCGGGGTTGGCGGCTACACTAGGGCTGCCCCGAGTCTGAAATTTGGGGTATAGGGGTAGCTCGGACCGGGGAGTAATATAGGCTAGGTGGCGTTAGTCTACCACTTCCGGTTTCGGGGTTATGACCCCCGAGCGAAGCCGGGCATTCTTCTAGTATATATATATAAAATAAATAAAATAAAACAAAGAATAAAAAAGTTTAAACCTCTGAAAAACCGGAAAGAGATAAAATTTCTCAGAACTCGTCTTACTTAAAGGGACATTATGGGTGATTAGATAATGAGTTGACAGTTCTCACTATAATAGTTACAAAAAGATAACGTAAATAGAATATGCTGAAAATTTCAGTCAAGTTGCTCCAATCTGAACCGAGATATTAGTTTTTGAATTTCCATCAACATTACTGAAGTCGGTATGATAAAAAACAAAGTCTCGATTATCCAGTTTTACGTTTAATCATCCTTCACAAAATGTATTCCAATTCGCTAAATATCGAAGTAGACCAATGCTGCGAACCAACTTTAAACAGGCATTATGCAAGGGCTAAATCTGAAGGTCTTTCTTTAGGCCTGAAATGTTATATAAACTATTAATTAGACATTTATTAACACGAAAAGACCTTAATCAACTCTCGATGTCATCTTGTGTGTCGGATTTAAACTGGATTTAATCCTATCTGCTGCTCATTGATGATTAAATGCAAAAATGGATAATCGAGACTATGTATTTTTTTTTTTATCGTACCGACTTTAGTAAAGATGATCGAGGCTAGGCCTAAAATTCAATCGCTTATACTTCCCGGGTAAGAGTGGAGCAATTTGACGGAAATTTTCAGCATATTCCCTTTACATTATCCACTTATTTAACCATTACAGTGAGAACTGCCAGTTCTTTATCTAATCTTCCACAATGCCCCGTGGGGGGTGTGCACATGACAAGGAGTAGGGTCGCCTGTCCAACCTCTTGGGTTTTCTCCGGGTCCTCCGGTTTCCTCCCACTGCTAAAAACCCCTACGCGCAAGCGAATTATTGAAATTAAACCATATGTTAGTCCCGAAATGACCTAGTTTGTGTCGAGTGGACGTTAAACCCCATTTCTCTCTCTCTCCCCCAGAAATGAACCTTTAAGTTAACCCAACATATTTTTTGTAAAAACAATTTACATGATGAGTGTGGTAGTATTCGGATCACATTTACATGGAAATTGAGTTGCTAAAGACACGCGAGCCATTGATTGCTAAAACAGAAAATCGCAACTGGTTTGACAAGATGGTGTATAATATGTTCAGGAATATCAACACTTATTTACGCCCTGGAGGTAATTTTTCGATTACATTGTGTTGGGGTGATTTAAAAATTAGCCGTTGTGGACAACGTTTCCACTTTGCCGTCTGCCAAGGGGTCACATTTAAGTATGACCCAGGATCTCTACATCATTTCCGGTGTTGCTTCCTTGTTGTAGTCGCCGAAAGGGGAAACCACTCAAACGAAGCCATGTTTAAGACAATTGCGCCGAGAGAAATGAAATGATCATAAGGTCGGTCATTAAGTGGCATGTTATCGATCCCACACTTGCACGTGAAACGAAATGAAATGGGGTTTAAAGTCCTAATCTGTACCAACTGGACTAATGAAGACGGGCATGCGCCATACAGTGTGCTATGAGAGGGTATTTTGCCGGGACAAAGTTGCTGCGGCCTACTCTTATATCAAATTACAACTGTCAAGGTTTAAGTGTAGCGACTGTTTACACGGGATTTGAGTTTTTCATTCAAACTGAAAAACTATACGTTGTCCCTTGCTAGACTCTCGGTCCTGTATCACTGACAAACCAGGGGAAAAACCCGCAGAAAAAACTTCCCAGATCAGGACAAGAGCGAATCCGAGATCCCATGGTCAGCTTGATAGCGAGAGAGAGAGAGAGAGAGAAATGGGGTTTAACGTCCACTCGACACAAACTAGGTCATTTCGGGACTAACATATGCTTTAATTTTATTTCAATAATTCGCTTGCGCATAGGGGTCTTTAGCAGTGGGAGGAAACCGGAGGACCAGGAGAATACCCACGAGGTTGGAAGCTTGATAGCGCCTCAACCACTTCAACCAATCATCACTGATGTAGTTATTTTAAAACTGTTCGTACCTTAGAACCCTGACCGGAAGATGGGAACACGTGATCTTTGGGATCCGCCATTTATCAGCAGCCGTAAAGCAAGGGGTAGATTATAAAGTAACTATTGCATATTCAGGTTTTCGGGTTGATTTTTTTTTTTTGCCCTAACACCACGCCTTACCCCCATTGATAATTTCGCTTTCTTTCTACAGTAATTCCGACATATTTTCACTCCAAATCTCACATATGTAGAAAGGAGGTGAAACGGTGCGACCGGTCAGGACCAAGAGCGAATTCGAGATTCCTTGAAACTAGATAGCGCCTCAACTACTTCAACCAATCACAACTGATGTAGTTATTTTAACACTGACGTTAGCAGCAGTGTATACATTACTGTGATAGAATACTGTCAAACAAACTGCTCAATGATAATTGTGTAACAATCTGTCGCCATATTGGCATTTCGAGACAAGTTCTACTTGATTACGATGAATTAACACTTCCGTGGAACAAATTGGCTTGAGACGACGTAACTTATTTGATGTACGTGACAGAAAGACATAATTACTCGGTAATTTGGCATAATTGTGGCGACGTATCGATTTTGTCAGGCATTAATGTACGATTTGTATTGAAGACACACACACACAAAATGTGTGAAATGGGGTGAAATGAGGTTTGAAGTCCTACTTTTCTGCACCGACCGGGCTAATGAAATGAAATGAAATGGGGTTTAAAGACCTAATGTTCTGTATCGACTGGGTAAATAAAGAGAGAGAGAGAGAGAAATGGGGTTTGGCGTCCACTCGACACAAACTAGGTCATTTCGGGACTAACATATGGTTTTTAATTTTATTTCAATAATTCGCTTGCGCGTAGGGGTCTTTAGCAGTGGGAGGAAACCGGAGGACCCGGAGAAAACCTACGAGGTTGGACAGGCAAAAATAAAGACAGACAAAAATGTGTAAGCTTCTTAAAGATACATTATGGGAGATAAGATAAAGAGATGGCAGTTCTCGCTATAATAGTTAAAAACTAGATAGTGTAAAGGTCATTTGCTGAAAATTTCAGTCAAATTGATCCAGTATGAGCCGAGAAAGAAGCAGGTGAAATTTTTGCATAGTCTCGGTCATCATTACTAAAATCATTTATATAAACAGCATAGTCTCGATTATCCACTTTTTCTGATTTAATTATCAACGGCCGTTAGCGGCATATAGGAATCTAATCCAGCCAACATCGAAGGCTAGCCTTGACATCGAGAGTTTATTATGGTCTGGATAAGTTAATTAATGTCTAATTGATAATTAAGATAACATTTCAGGCCTAAAGAAAGACTTGTAATAAGCAGATTTTGCTCTTGCATAATGCATGTTTAATTAACGTTGCACAGCACATATTCATGAAGCAGTGATCACGAGTATCGTAAGCTTATTAACCACTGCTTCACATACTGTGGTAACTGAGCGTTTCTGATTGGTTATTTTACAATGGACAGCACACATAATAATTATGCGCATTATTTTTTCATTAACCACTGCTACACTTAATATGGTACCGTGGGTTTTATAGTTCTATTTCTTATGACCACCGGTACTCGAAATGGACCAAAGTATCACAGAAATGTATCAAATTCTCAACTCTTGTTGGTTGGTTGAAATCAACCTCGCCCCCCCCCCTCCCAAATTGTATTAATTCGGCAAACTATAGCCACACTTTTTATTCTCATTCCATTTGACATTCGTTGTTTGGAGATGTGAACGCCCTGTTCACCTAAATATGCGACTTTCAATTTCTAAACTCCAAAGCGCGCGATTTGCAGTGGTATTGCCTCACTAAATGTGAACGCCCTGTGTTGCAACTGTGATATCCTCCTAAATATGCTACTTTCCCTTTCTAAAATAATACCCCAAATTGCACGATTTGCAACGGTATTGCCCCACTAAATGTGAACGCCCTGCGCTTGGTGTTACAACTGTGATATTCTGCTAAATATGCTACTTTCCCTTTCTAAAATAATACCACAAAGCGCGTGATTTGCAACGTTATTGCCCCACTAAATGTGAACGCCCTGTGCTTTGTGTTACGACTGTGATATCCACCTAAATATGCTACTTTCCCTTTCGAAAATAGTTCTCCAAAGCGCACGATGTGGAACGGTATTGCTCCACTAAAATTGCCCCGAGGCTGTACACAATTCGACTAGAGTTTCGCACGCGAGAGTTACATGCCCTAAAATGTACTAACCTTTTCATCTTCACTGTCGAATCCGCGAGAACATCCGGTTTTATTAAGGACCTGGGCCACGCCTATAATTTCATCATCAGCGTTTTTGATTGGCATACACAAAAGATCCTCGGCTTGATAACCAATAATCTCCTCACTGTATCTTGGATCCTGGAAATAAACAAACATCAACCTTTTAATAATTTTGTCAAGTACATCAACAAAATTGGCATCTTTTCAGACCCTTCTTTGGTCAGAGGTTAGGCAAACGGGTGGCCTCCCAGCTCAATTGCCAGCTTGCCAAAAACATCAAATCTGAATCCAGCCCTCCGTAGATCTGAGCCCTAATGGCAACACGGGCCAGACTGTGCACGCATCAATGTGTAAAACTATATGTCTATAGAGATTATCTAAGTTTTCTGAATGGTGTTTTAGTAATGTATTGAAGTCGTTACCCATAAATGGGTGACAGCTAGTAGATACCTTCCAAGATTAATATCGGTCAATGACGTCATAGTCTAGTTATTTCAAATATGGTCTACCATGCTAGAAACCGGACACCCTTCATCCGCCTCTTTCTCCTTAGTACTCATATTAGAACATTGTGTTTAAATCAAGTTAGCTTATAGGCAGGTGACCAATCAGGTAAGGAAGCACCTGACCCATTTCTCTGCGGGTCTGTAAACGACTCGGTCAAGAAAGAACGCGATAAGGTAACTTTAGATCATGATATGAGGTTCCTAGAGAGACGCGCCATTAGCCGCCTTGGCTTAGAGGCCGGGATAGAGTCAACATGTAGTGTTTCAGCCGTTAGATCTGAGTACTATCATTGATGTTGTAATTTGCTGTATTTCAAATATAAACAAGGACCTTATTATAACAACACGGGTTTTCCGAGTTTTAACGATCTGAAAAAGCACAAACCGTGAAGGTCGGACTGATTGGATACCGGTACTGTCACATTTACGGATTTGGATCGTATACACGGTTGTATATCTGTCTTTTAAGGGCCATGACAAGGGATAAGTGTTACCATAGTGTCACATTGCCTTGTTGGTGCCGTGACACAGCACATGATAGGTATCACCATAGCTTGGACGGCCGATTGGTTAGCAAGTGCGGGCTGTATCATAAGGTCTGTCATTGACTCAACGGGTGTGGTTTCGATTCCCCGGTTGTACGTGACAAGGCGTAGGGTCGCCTGTCCAACCTCGTAGGTTTTTACCGGGTCCTCCGGTTTCCTCCCACTGCTAAAGACTCCTACGCGCAAGTGAATTATTGAAATAAAATTGAACCATAAGTTAGTCCCGAAATTACCTAGTTTGTGTCGAGTGGACGTTAAACATCATTTCTCCCTCTCTGTAGCTATTTTGGGGGCCTCTTTAATATTGAGGCGCAGTCAGCCCCGCCCCTCACCCACCCCAAACACACAACTTATCTGGCCCTGTGCCTGTGGGTTTGTCTTGTGCAATTGTTTTATTTCATATTAACATGTCTATTAAACATACATTATGCAAGAGCTAAATCTGCCTATTGCAGGTCTTTCTTTCGGTCTGAAATGTTATCTAAATTTTTAATTAGACATTAATTAACTTATCCAGACCATAGTCAACTCTCAGTATCATCGCTAGCCTGCGAAATTTACTGGATTAGGATCCGATTTGCTGCTCAACTCTCATTCATAATTTAATCATGAAGTGGATAATCGAGACCATGTTTTCTATCGTACCGACTTTAGTAATGATGATCGAGGCTAGGCCGAAAATTCAATCGCTAAAATCTCGGTTCAGAGTGGATCAATTTGACTGAAATTTTTAGCAAATTCCCTTTATATTATCTTGTTTTTAACTATTATAGTGAGAACTGCCAGCTCTTTATCTAATCGCACGTAATGTATCTTTAATTAGATACGTGTACTACTTGATGACCTATAAGAATAATAATAATACACATTGCTTGTTAAAATCTAAACCTCCCAAAGGCCTAATGAATCGTCTCTTATGTCTGGATTATTGTTCATAAATATAGACTCGTGCATCCGGTGACATTTAAAACTATATTATTATTTGTCTTACCCTTTCAAAGATATAATCAAATATATTATATTGCATGTTCGTGTAATTAGCTGGCTAATATATAGGTTTTCACTTCCTTTTTAAATCCGGGTAGTTTATTACGCTGTAATCACCTATTCTTGGGATCAACGAACTATGAATTCAGAAGAAAGTGTTATGAGGCGGCACCACAGCATACTCTTATTACGCATTCCAGCTGTCAAGGGATCTTTTACGTGCACGCCAATGTTTACACAGGACCTCAGTTTTTCGTCTCATCCTAATGACTAGACAACTGTTCTTGTCAGGCCCTCCGTCCTGCATCACTGACAAGGGAGAACCACGTCGGAACATCTGGATGAACTTTCTCGGCCAATGCAAGGACACAAACTAGGTCACTATGAGACTAACATATGGTGATGCATATCTATGGATATCTTTACAAAGATAATATATTCCATTCAGTCATTAGCAAGGGCGATTTTGACTTAACAGAGAGAAATTAGGTTTAAGGTTTACTTGACACAAACTAGGTCATTTCGGGATTAACATATGGTAGAATGGCATTTCAATAATGTTCTTGTGCTTCAGGATCTTTAGCAATATTATCAAACTGATGGCCCGAACAAGCCCTACCAGGATGGACAGGTGTAACACTATTTTATTGATAACAAAGATCAATTTCTTGAATTTTGGATTCTTTACATGGGGAACAGGATATAAATTCACGGGAACATAAGCAATAACATTAACCCGGTACATTATATAATTAATAGACAACCATTCCGCTTCTTTGCCTAGGCAGCGGCTAAACTCGGGTGATTTCATTTACCCGTCTCCGCCCCTCTTCACGCCTCTCTCCTCATCAGTCAGCAAACTTACGGTTATATACTTCTCAACAATAGGGAAAGTTAATGCGAACGTCTTACAAGGAATCGGGGGGGGGGGGATGGCCGAATGGTTAGTACGTGCGCGCTGTATCATAAAGCCTGTCATTGAGTCAACTGGCATGGTTTCGAATCCCCGGTTGTACGTGACAAGGAGTAGGGTCGCATGTCCAACCTCGTGGGTTTTCTCCGGGTCCTCCGGTTTTCTCCCACTGCTTAAGACCCCTACGCGCAAGCGAATTATTGAAATAAATTTAAACCATATGTTAGTCCCGAAATGACCTAGTTTTTGTCGAGTGGACGTTAAACCCATCTCTCTCTCTCTCCCTCTCTCTCTCTCTCTCTTATAAGGAATTGAGTCTTATAACACAGAGCTATTGTCATATATGGAGTTGTTTAGATTAGCTTGCCACCAGGGTACACACAGATCATAAGTAGTGGGATTAATTAATTAATTCTATCACAGCGATTACATTCTTCGTAGGGTTGAAAAGATAATATCATATAAATATATTATCAAAATCAGCTGGAGGTCAATAAGTTCACTGTGTCTAAATAATCGTTGTATTTTATACTATAGTAAATTTAAGTTATATTTATAGCACGGCTTTCATGAGTTAACAAGTTCAACCAGAGTGAGGGGTTAAACCTGTTAACGAATGGAGCTTGCTATAAACGACTTGTAACATTGACAACTGCTCATCATGCATAATGTTATTGCACAGAAAAGCCACACCACTTCTCTATATGATTTCTACTAAAACTAGTGTAAACCAGCGAAAGTGTGCAATTACATTGAACATGTCTAGTTATTGCACGGTAAAGTTCCACCCAATCTACTAGAGGGAAAACAATCTGCTTATTCAACGAAAAGAACAAAGGAAGATTTCCTATCCATGTTACAATGAAAGTTATTGAACACAGACGACCCTAACCCTTGTCACAAACAAGCTTAGGATCGAAATCATTTCACTTGACTCAATGACAGACCTTATGATCTAAAGTCCACTCGACCAGCCAATCCCCGTCGCGTGACGAGAAGAACCGAACTTGTAATATGACTTATATACGGCTTTGTAATCATTTATTTCAGTAATAGATCGAGCTTTTTTTTCTGTGACCTGATTTATTGTATGTGTAATTAAACCAATACGATATTAAATACCTATTCCTCTATTATGCCCAATGAATTATAGACGTAGAATTAATTCTATATTATCAAGAGGGAAAATAATAACATTTTATTAAACGTATTAAAAACATTGACAATATTATAAACTATGGTCCTGATAGACGTATTAAACATTGACAATATTATAAACTATGGCCCTTATAATGCTCAGTTCCCACTATCACGTTTTGTGCTACGATTGGAATCGTGCTTTTAATCGTGGAGTAATCGTGGTGATCCTATCAGGTCTTATCGTATATTGAGGTCAGTGTTAATCCCCGCATAACACTGTATGGGTATGCCCGTCTTGATTAGCCCAGTAGGAGCAGAACAGTAGGACGTTAAACCCTATTTCATTTCATTTCATTTCATTCCATGTTCAAGCTTGGGATCGATACCATGTCACTTTCCTCAATGGCCGACCTTGTGATCTAAAGCACACTGTATCTGCTATAGGAGAACGGCGCAGACCATGTACACCTGCTTCAAGAGCGACATGTGTACTCGATGGCAAGAGTACAAACAGAAGAACAGTGGCAGTTATCGCCTTTACATAAGGTACTTAAAGTATCCCGTGTTCATTAGTGTTCACTCGCCATCCAATCCTTCAATCCAATCAAATATTTATAATTTACATCACGTATTTTACACCTGCCTCTCATATTTAACCCGGACGTTTTTCTTTCCGTTTCATATCTTCTGTTGTCAGTTTGGGGGGAATCGAAACCACGCCACTTGACTCTCTGACAGACTTTGTGACCTAACGCGCAAGCGTTAAACTATTCGACCAACCGCTAAACCCCCACCAACCCGTTAGTCTTATAAGCATACACTTCATTGTTTCGCGCTAAAAGGTCGAACCTTGGGAGCTCAGTAACATATACAGGGCCGATGTCAGAACTTGGCAAGGGACCTCGAGGTCCTATGCACACATTGTCATAAGAGATGTGGCGACACGGAGATATTCTCCACAGTAACATCATCTTCAATAGAAGGCTTGATCTCGCTTTAACTCCGTACATCTTATCAAGGCCTTCGCGTAATAAACTACATATTTTG